GTCCAGTTCGCTGGTCGACTTACAGCTCTGCTCCCCAAGTCCCTGATGCCTCGTGAGATGCAACAGAAAGAGGACTTTGGTTTGCGTAAGCTCGAATCTTTAGAGGTCAAGGTTACCTCTGTAGACAGAGAGTATGGTCGTCTTATTGTTTCGATTCCTTCTACGGAGGATCAAGACATGAAGAAAGTCATTAAGCCCAAGGACAATCCTGTTGCTGCCAACCCCTTGGACGCATCGATCAAGTCCATGGATGATATCACCATTGGTATGATCACCAAGGCCAAGATCATGTCGATCAAAGACACGCAGATGAACGTCAAGCTTGCCGACAACATTCAGGGCCGCGTGGACGTCTCCCAAGCCTTCGATTCTTACAACGCGATTGCCAACCCTAAGGCGCCTCTTTCGCAGTTCCGTGTCAACGAGATTATCAGGGTCCGTGTTCTGGGAATCCACGATGCTCGCAACCACAAGTTCCTCCCCATCAGCCATCGTTCAAGCCATTCGGTCCTGGAGCTCTCTATGAGGCCCAGCGACCTTCATGAGGGTGAGGCGCCTGAGCCCCTGACTTTCGATAAGCTGGAAGTTGGTAGCAAGCAGCTGGCCTTTGTCAACAACATTGGCAACAAGTGCCTCTGGGTCCACTTATCTCCCAATGTCCGTGGACGTATCAGCGCCATGGAGGCCTCTGATGACCTGTCCAAGGTGGCTGATCTCGATGAGAATTTCCCCATCGGCACAGCACTCCGTGTCCATGTCCTGGCCGTCAACCCACAAGAACGGCGCCTCGACCTCTCCGCACGTACCCCTGGAACCGTGAACAACATTACCTGGGATACGCTCGAACAGAACACAGTGCTCGGTGGCCGGATCACCAAAGTCAATGATCGCCAGATCATCGTTAAGCTGAGCGAGACAATTGCTGGTCCAGTTCATATGGTTGATCTTGCTGACGACTATGACGAGGCCAACCCGCTGAAGTACCAGAAGAACGACATCGTCAGAGTGTCGGTCGTGGAAGTCGACAAGCCAAACAAGAGAGTAAGGTTGTCTACTCGACCTTCTCGTATCCTTAACTCCTCGCTTCCGGTCAAGGATAAGGAGATCACCAAGTCGAGCCAGGTCGAGGTTGGAGATATTGTTAGAGGATTTGTGAAGAATGTGTCTGATAAGGGCCTCTTCGTAACTCTTGGCGGAGACGTGTCAGCCATGGTCTGGATCAAGAACATGTTTGACAAGTATGTCAGAGACTGGAAAGAGGAGTTTCAGGTTGATCAAGTGGTCAAGGGTCGCGTCATCTCCACAGCTGAAGGCCGGATCAATCTTAGCTTGAAGCCTTCAGATGTCGACAAAGATTACGTTCCTCTGCTCACCATCCAGGATCTCAAGGAGGGCCAGCACGTTACTGGCAAGGTCAAGAAGGTGGAGGAGTTTGGTGCCTTCATTGACATTGATGGCACAGCCAATGTCTCTGGTCTTGCTCACAGGAGTGAGTTGGCCGAGAAGCCAGTTGCCGATGCCAGGAAACTTTACACTGTTGGTGATAAGGTTAAGGCTCGCGTACTTAAGGTCGACTTGCAGAACAAGAAGATCAACCTCGGCCTCAAGCCTTCATACTTCGACGAAGATGAGGACAGTGATGAGGATATGGAGGGTGACGAGTCCGGCGCGATGCTTGAGTTTGAGAGCGTGAGCAGCGAGGACGAAGAGATGGAGGACAGCGGTGCGCCTGTCACCATCACCGGTCTGGACAATGATGAGGACGAGGACGAAGAGGATGAGAGCGATGTGGAGATGGAAGACGCACCAGCAGGAGGCTTGTCTGGTGGTCTTGGAACCGGTGGTTTCGACTGGTCCGCTTCCGTTCTGGATGCCGACAAGGAGGACAAAGACTCTGCTTCAGCAGCGCCTGCGAAGAAGGAGAAGAAGAGGAAGTCCGAGATCCATGTGGACAGGACCGCTCAGCTCGATGCCCACGGCCCTCAAACGGCCAGCGACTACGAGCGTCTCCTTCTCGGTCAGCCAGACGATTGGCAGCTCTGGATCGCCTACATGGCCTTCCAGATGCAGGTCAGCGAGCTCGCCAAGGCCCGAGAGGTTGCCGAGCGTGCTCTCAAGACCATCAACATCCGCGAGGATGCCGCCAAGCTCAACGTCTGGATCGCTTACCTCAACTTGGAGGTCGCCTACGGCACTGATGAAACTGTCGAGGATGTCTTCAAGCGCGCCTGCACCCTCAATGACGAGCAGATTGTCTGCGAGAGACTTGCCAGCATCTACATCAAGTCTGGGAAGCACGAGGTATGTACCGGCCCTTCAACTTACACTTTCTCGCCTCAGGATTACTAACTCTCCTTGTAGAAAGCAGAAGCGCTCTTTGAAACCCTCCTCAAGAAGTTCGGCTCCAAGACACCGTCCATCTGGGAGAACTACGCAGACTACCTCCACAAGGTTGCTAACAAACCCGAGGTCGCTCGCGGGCTTCTCAAGCGCGCAACTCAAGCACTCGAGGACCGCCACCATCTTCCCCTCGCCGTCCGTTTTGCAGCCCTTGAATTCCACTCGCCCAATGGCGATCCCGAGACCGGCCGTACGCTGTTCGAGGGTCTCCTTGCCGCTTCGCCCAAGCGCTTCGATCTCTGGAACCAGTTGCTGGATCTGGAGACTAGCGCCTATGCCAAGGCCGGCGAGAAGGCGGACAAGCAGCCTGTCAGAGATGTCTTTGACCGTGGTGCCAAGGTCAAGGGACTCAAGGCTGAAAAGGCCAAGAAGTGGTTCCAGCGATGGGCCAAGTGGGAGGAGGCCAATGGTGATAAGAAGGATCGGGAGAGGGTCACTGCCCGAGCACAGCAGTGGGCTCGGGAAGCCGAGGCCAGGAAGAAGGCGCAGGAGTAGTTGCTGTGTGTATAGAGAGATAGATTATACCCGGGAAAGGATGGCTAGGCCACCACAAAAGTACGATCATGGGTCTGATCGGGTTGTATGCATAGCTGGTCACAAAATAAATGGCATGGAAGTTTTGTTTGGTTTATAACAACTCTATGAGGTCAGATTCGGAGTAAGGTGCCGGATTTTGTTGGCGATACTTGATCCTTCTCATATGAGGTCAACTCGAAGGCCTGAGTGATCTTCCCACTATACCAAGCTTCCAACAATGAGTCTCACTGCTGGTTGCGTTCGACCTTAGTTATTGACTCTCAACCGAAATACGAAACGGGAACAGACTCGGTAGTCACTGGTCAAGATCAAAAAGGAACCAAAAGAATGGTCATGATCCTTTTCAAGGACCGGTAACTCGGATACGGGGAGTCGAACCCCGGGCTGATGAGTGAGAGTCATCGATGTTACCGCTACACCATACCCGATGCTTGGTTGTTGAGCTTCTGCCAAAGTGACCTGAAGAATATTTTTTTTGGCCACTCAGTCGAGTGGTCACTGACTCGTCTCGTCACGCACCGAGTCACGACACGCCTGGGACCGGAGAAGACACCATCGTACAGCATTCAGCGGGTTTAGCTCAGTTGGGAGAGCGTCAGACTGAAGTCAAACTTCATCAGTTCATCTGAAGGTCGTGTGTTCGATCCACACAAACCGCATCATTTTGCAGTAGGTGTGTATAGGAGGTGTTTTTTTTTGCTGGTGTTGAACGGTCTTTCTTCGTACTGGCAACGAAGGCATCATACTATCACAGGGACTTGGTCTTATCATTTGCTATGTCTGATACTACATAGCTATTCTTCACGCCTATTGGGTTTCAAAACATACTCCTCCTCTTCCTCCCGATAGCCCTCGAGACACTTCTTCGCAACCTCCCTACCAACAATACTCACCTCATGACCACTTCCCGTGCACTTCAGACATCTCTGCTGAGCATACGGCACATCATACCCCTTCTTCTTCACCTCAACCTCCCCCTCCACCTTCCTGAAATGCCCGATGATCGTCCCGTACAAGTCAGGACTAACCAACGCCCCTCTCTCATGCACCAAAATCCCCTGGTTCCCTACCTTACTAGTCCACTTACCGTCTACTTTCAGGGAATAATGTGTCACATGGTACCGACGGGTCAAGGTCTCCCACTTACCCCAGACGTCTATATCAGCCAGGGAAGCATCTTGGGTAGGTGTGTACCCGTGTTGGGCTAGGAAGGAGATGATGTCCCAGCCGGAGTCAAAGTACTTGTCACCGCGGAGGAAGGCAAGCGATTGGACGGCCCAGCCGAGACAGTTGTAGGATTCGGAGGGTGCGCCCATGACGAGGAAGGAGCCTAGATGAGGGAAGCGGTAAGTGTAGCCTGTTTCTTCATCTGTGGGGGGCTGGGGTGGGAAGGTTAGGTTGTGGAAGGGGGAGGGGAGAGGCAGGGTTGTTGAGGAGTTAGCCATGGTTTGTGTGTGATTGCACGAGGGTGAGGATTTCATGAGACGATAGAAGGAAAACCATTGCATTATATGGCTTGTCTTGTTCTGCCTTCACTCAGTGCAGTCATAGTGCTCAACTTCACTACTCGAACAACTTTCTTTGTGGTGGAATGCTTTGTGTCCAGATGGTGTTCGCTCTCATCTCGGTGGTGACAATGGACATGAGGGGACAGAGATATCACACAAAGACAAGCAAATAGAATCATGTTTTCTATCATTGTTCCTTGATGGCCGCCGAAATGTTGGCTTACACGTCCCAGATACGGCCTTGGCTGAGAGCGTATGCCACAGTGACCCTCTGTCAAGGCCCGAGCCTCAACGAGTCGATGAACCTTGATACTGCTCAGTCAGAAGCCTTGTCTCTCACATTCTTACCTAGAGTTGTGCTTCCTATTTGGAGAAATATTTGTGGTTTACACCAATGTCCGTGGTTGGTACGATGCTGCGGTATAGTAGGTATGCACTTTCCTGCCATCCGCCAAGCTCATCCCCTCCTGTCGGAACCTGTAACCTTCCGTATGCCAAGCTTAGTCTTCTCTATTTGTACTCAATTCAAGTATTGCACAGTAACAAGAAGCAAAGGCCCGTTTGGCTCAGTGGTAGAGCGTGTCGCCAGTGCCGGTCCCCTAAGAATTCCTTCCTAAGAAATTCCTTCCGAACAGCGTCTGGTTAACGGCAAGATCATCAGTTCGACTCTGACAATGGGTGATCATTTTTTCCCTCTTTTGACTTGATCTTAGCATAGACCAATTTATACATTCCAATTTTGAAGTTTGAATTCAACTTGGATTGAAGGCATATGTCCGTTATCCATCCTGAGCGGTCAGCGACTGTAGCCTTTGCCTGGATCGTTTTTGGACACTGGCTTGAGTCTGACTGATGACAGCGCATTGCTGGCGACCAATACTTAAGCAGACATAATAGAGTGGTATATTGTTCTACTTTATCTTACGTACTTCCATAGATGTGTGCCGGTGGTTAACACGTTCCGGCAGCTGCCCTGGGTAGAGCAACAAACCAGGTAGGAGTGACACATCTACCGCGATAAGTACGGGTCGGTTATCCGTGTAGTTGGCGGCGGTTGACAATCTACCAGGCAACTTGGATAAATGCTACATTTCCCAAGGAAGCCTAAGTTTGAGTTTGTAGCTGCGAGCTTACTAGCATGGGTACGAAGTGTCCTGTCCCCCAATTCGACTATGCAAAGGCTAGTAAAACGCTTTCTGAGTGAAGTATGTGGCACTTCCTTACGGTCGTGCAAGCATGCTTGAACGTTAGCTGTGATTTGAAGACTAGTCAACTTGTTGAGGATGCGTTGTCCGTCATTGCAGGCTCTCAACGTCCTTTGTCTCTCACAACTTTCTGACTCCAGCTCGCGGCCATTCCCCAAATGATAACATCCAGCGCACGTCTCGCCGTCACGTTCACTGCACGTGAACAGGCAATGTTGTACAACATTTATGAATCTTATGTCATGTAGAAGTTGTTTGAAATCTGCCACACATTATCACACCGGGACGCGTCACGACTAAGAAGAGTCTGACGAGGCACATAGTGTAGTTCAAGCTCAATATAAGAACCAGTAATGCTACGATGTCAATGACTACCTTCAGCGTAGGTAGGATCAGAATTCGCTTTGTAACAGGTTTTGTTTCTGGCCGTTTGGTGAGTTGACCACGAAAGGGGTGAGTGACCAATTTAGGCTTAGCGTCCAGCTGGCACACAGTCGAGTCACTCCCCTAACCCTAACTGACAGCTGGATGCAAAGTCAGGGATACGCGGATGTTTTGACGTTTTAGAGACACCGCAGCACGAGCAACGGCTGCCTGTGTTCTATCATTAAAGTACCTTGAACATTGTGTGGAATACGGTTTCTGGAAAAACTCATCGTGTGGACGTGTTTCCGTTGCTTCATTGGATTCCTCCGCTGCGTTCCTCTAACGATGCAACAGTCCGCGGTCTAAATGTCTCTTCACTCCTTCTCCACGATTTCCGTGGTTGTCACCGCTACGTCGAACAACCATATCACATCACAAACTGTTACCTTTTGACTGTACTATTGCGGAGGAATCCATCCTTATAAGGCCATGATACAGCTGTTGTCTTGTTTTTCGCCGTTGCAGCATTCAACAACCTGTTCTCCCCCCAAGATGCTACCAATCGAACAAATGCAACCATATCTGGATAGCCTTCATGTACCCCGCATACTAGGGCGATGACAGTGGATTCATGATATCAGAGAGCATGCAGATCGTGACGGGTGTGTGTGGACTCAATCAGACATTTCAGGTGTCAAGGTGTCATGGGGGAATTCGAGGCACGAATGATGAAGTGCTGATAAGGTCTCTGTCTCGTGACTGAAAACGTCGACAGCTGTGTTGGATGGTCCACGGTCGCGTGAGTCGAATTGGGGGTGGTCAGTCAGACAGTCAGGAATTCCCTCGGACAATCTGCTCCAAGACCATGGTATGTCAGCAAAATTGGGCAACCTCGGTGCACGATTCAGCCTTCCTTAAAAATTTGTCGACATGAAGGAATTGAATTTCGTCTTTTTAAGAGGTACGCAAGTACTTTGGAAGGGTTTGTGGAAGTACCTATTCGTAAGCAAGGTAGTTTCCGGTATATTACCGCAGCTGCAGGAGACCTCGGAGTCCCAGGGTCTGTTGCAATGAAGAGTGGGGGCTAATCTTCTAGAAGGATTCGAAGTGGCTCCCAGCAGACTTGTCCAGGCAGAGCATTTCAGAAGGCTGGGGAAATTGTTCGGTAGTGGACATGAAGGTACAGGCGAATGGAGATGGTGGAGCAGGACTCGGTCTCTGAACCTGGGCCTTTCGATCTCTATGGAGAGGCTGGAGAATGCGCGCAAAATGCAAACCCGTGCAAGGGACATGGCAGGTAAACCCAACCACGCAAGCCCAACAATGTGCTGTGTTCGCTGTCTTCGTAGTGCGTAGCTTCTGTCGACTTTGCTGAGGTGTCCTGCATCGAATCCCACGCTACTAGAAATGGTCAGATCGAGGATGACTCGATAAGCTTGTGGAGCTGAGGTCATCCCGAAGGTTCGCTATCTCGGAGCGCTGGCACCCTAGCCTGTTGGCCCTCGTGCCTTATCAGTGATTGTCTCGTACAACGCCCAGAAAGGAAGGAAGCGTGGGAGGCAGTGAGAGCGATATAAGCAAGGCAGCCGCAAAGGCGCGAAATGTTCCTGCCATCTTGAGAACACCTGTGTACAACTCTTTGTGTAATATTTGAAGTGTGCGTTTTTGCTCACACTTCCACTGTCTCCAAAGGCTTGTTGTTCTTGCTTTTCCGTTTTGGTCGAGTCTTGGCACTCAACCTAACGTCACTTGCCGCCACCCGTACGTCAAGTCACACTACCGCCTCGGGGATCGTCCGCTCAGCTGGGAGATCCGGTCACTGTCACCCACGCGACACCTGCATCTGCGCAGGCACAGCACGCTCAAGTCCCCCTGAACCAAACTTTGACAGCGGCAAGATCAAAGAACAACGTTGCGAAAGAGGGAAAGACGACCCAACAGCGTTCCATCAGCTCCAGATTGGACCCTGAAAGCTGTAATTAACATCGCGACCTTTCGAAACAAGTGCCCAGCCGTTTTTGATCAGCGAACACCGAAATTGAGTCGAGCGCAAAACTCGTAAATTTCGACCACTGAGTCGGTCGCCTGTCGTCGACTCGTTTGCTGTTCGAGGCGTTTTGTTACGTACTTTTACGTACAAGAATCCCTTCTTGGCCCGCTTCTCAAACGTCACAACCCCTTGTCATCCGCTCTGCGGCCCTCCTAGGCCCATCGCCAAAAGAACCCTTGGTTTCGGTAATGGGGTGCCGTGTGGGAACAATCCGCGCTTTCCGTTAGTGGAGAGTACGAAGCTACCACCGGTCTAATACAAGCTTCCTCTTTGGTCAAGATGTTGTCTCCGCGCTCCTTTCTCGTCACTCGTCAAAACCAGCGTTCATCCACAAACGCAGCGCAGTTGCCCTCACACCCGCATATGCGAGCGCCTCCCAGTAAGCGAAACTATGAACAACAGTTTCATCCGTTCTCGAGCAACACAACTACCATCAACACTACCACTCCCGCTACTAACACCATGACGACCTCCAAACTAAGGTCTGCCAAGTCTAATGTTGTTCCCACGCCACCATCGAGCCCTCCGAAAACAGACACACGACCACCTACTCCTACCAGTCCAGTGCGAATACCTACGACACCCAAAACGCGGGACACAGCACACCCACAAAAACAACACCGACATCATGGCGGTCGCAGACATCATTCTGAGGCTCGACCGAGAGATGTCCACTCTCCTGATGCCATTCCAGCATCGGTTGCTGCATTGTTAGCAGTAACCAGCATACCGCCCCCGAGGTCAAGATCACAACGGAAACGGAGGACTCTTTCGGAAAAGAGCATAACCGCAGACTCACTCGTAGAGCAGTCACGAGCATTGGAACAGGATTTCAGCCGGAGCATGTCGCTAGGTCGTAGTCCGATGGATATGTTGCTCAGTCCGCCTGATGATTCGGATATCGACAATTCGTCCTATTGTGACAGCACGATTGGCTCTCCACTTTCGACCAGGGCAGTCTCGGTGGCATCGATGCCCTCTCTGGACGACATCTTCACTCCCAATACGGTGTACTCGGTCGGAACACCCATGACCACGCCGATGTCTTCGCCCAGGTTGAAAAGGTTTCAACCCACTCGAAAGGATTTGAAGCCGGTCGTTTCTGACGGTGAACAAGAGGAACACCCACTGTCGAGTCCTGAGGTCGAAATAGATGAGCTAGATTTTAGGGTGTTTGACAAGTCGCCAACGCAAGGTCGGGAAACGGGGACAAGGTCGCCATTAAAGCCCTTGAAGTCAGCTTTCAAGTCTAACCTTACTGCTTCGCTCCGGGCCTTGCGACAGGCTGCTCGATCCTTTTCGTCATTAAATTTTCCTTCTATTCCCCCGGAAGATTTTCTCACCAGGTCGATTCTCACGATTGACCCCAAGGTGCCGTACACGGACGAGCGCAGACCTCCTCCATTGCAGGAGGAACCGACGGCCGCATTGCGCCGCTACTTCAACCCAGTCACAGACTCGCGGCTGGAGCAGTCCTCCACCACATTGTCGCCTGTGACTGGAGGCGACTTTTCTGCCTCGATTCAGATGCAGACTTACAAGGTGCAGCGGGCACGCAGCGCTTCGTCCACCGGCCGCCCGTCGCGATCATCTTCTACTTTAGAAAACAAGGTGATTCCGGTGGTTGAAGCTCAAAAGACCCCATCCTTCGAGCCATCACTTCCTGGGCCCCGGCAACGAGAGATGAGGGAAAACTCAGATTTCATTCGGATCGCCGTCATGGAGATGGCCATGAGAAAGCGCGGCAAGCTAGACGATCAGCGACCCGGACGAGCGCGGTGGGCACTTCCACCGCGCAAGGTCAGCACGAAACCCTACGAGATAGGAGCCGACGGTGTTCCAGCCAGATGGGTTGCGGTCACATATTAATACGTCGAGCGTGGCTGGATTCCCACAATGAGAACACTATGGCGACATGTTGGGTCATGCGATTGCGGGATTCCCAGGGCACAATCACGACATTCGTGTGTTACACATCCTACAATTTCACCAATGCCTGATGGGCACAAGCATACGGCCGCATGCGAACAGCCATCGTCTGCCTTTCGCAGAGGATCGAA